TGGGACAAATTACAACATGGTTTTACGAAAGGCAGATCGTGCCAAACCAACCTGATCTCCTTCTTTGAGAAAGTAACAGATTTTTTAGATAAAGGAAATGCGGTGGATCTAATATACCTCGATTTCAGTAAAGCGTCTGATACGGTACCTCATGAGGAATTATTGGTTAAATTGGAAAAGATGGGGATCGATATGAAAATCCAGAGGTGGATAAAGAACTGGTTAAAGGGGAGACTGCAGCGGGTCGTACTGAAAGGTGAACTGTCAGGTTGGAGGGAGGTGACCAGTGGAGTTCCTCAAGGTTCGGTTTTGGGTCCGATTTTATTTAATCTATTTATTACTGACCTCAGAACCGAATGTAGAAGTGGGCTGATAAAGTTTGCGGATGACACAAAGTTGGGAGGTATTGCCAATTTGGAGAAAGATCGGAATATCCTGCAGGGAGACTTGGATGACCTTGTAAACTGGAGTAATAGTAATAGGATGAAATTTAATAGTGAGAAGTGTAAGGTGATGCACTTAGGGATGACTAACAAGAATTTTAGTTATAAGCTGGGGACGCATCGGTTGGAAGTAACAGAGGAGGAGAAGGACCTCGGAGTCCTGGTTGATCGCAGGATGACTATGAGTCGGCAATGTGACGTGGCCGTGAAAAAAGCTAATGCGGTCTTGGGATGCATTAGGCAAGGTATATCTAGTAGGGATAAGGAGGTGCTGCTTCCGTTATACAAGGCACTGGTGAGACCTCATTTGGAGTACTGTGTGCAGTTCTGGTCTCCCATGTTTAAAAAGGATGAACTCAAACTGGAACGGGTGCAGAGAAGGGCCACTAGGATGATCCGAGGAATGGAAAACCTGTCGTACGAAAGGAGACTCGAGGAGCTTGGTTTGTTTACCCTAACCAAAAGAAGGCTGAGAGGGGATATGATTGCTCTCTTTAAATATATCAGAGGGATAAATACCAGGGAGGGAGAGGAATTATTTCAGCTCAGTACTAATGTGGACACGAGAACAAATGGATATAAACTGGCCGTCGGGAAGTTTAGGCTTGAAATTAGATGACGGTTTCTAACCGTCAGAGGGGTGAAGTTCTGGAACAGCCTTCCGAGGGAAACGGTGGGGGCGAAAGACCTCTCTGGCTTTAAGATTAAGCTTGATAAGTTTATGGAGGGGACTGTTTGATGGGATAACGTGATTTTAGTCAATAGGTCAGTAACGTGCCATCGCAGGTAATTAGTATCAATGGTCAATGCGGGTCTGGCTGGAGAATCTTGCCCGCATGCTCGGGGTTCTGCTGATCGCCATATTTGGGGTCGGGAAGGAATTTTCCTCCAGGGTAGATTGGCAAAGGCCCTGGAGGTTTTTCGCCTTCCTCCGCAGCATGGGGCAGGGGTCGCTTGCTGGAGGATTCTCTGCGACTTGAAGTCTTCAAATCATGATTTGGGGACTTCAACAGCTGAGTCAAGGGAGAGAATTATTCCAGGAGTGGGTGGGTCAGCTTTTATGGCCTGCATCATGCGGGAGGTCAGACTAGATGATCATAATGGTCCCTTCTGACCTTAAAGTATATGAATCTATGAGAGTGATTTAGTCAGAGGGGCCTGCTCCCCCTTAGATAGGATGGACATTGTGTCCACCCATACATTTAAGTCCTTACATCCTGTTTTTCACTGATCAGCAGAGAACACATAAAACAGCCTGGAGCCCAGGAAAGGACAGAAATAGATTTCTCAAGAGAATGAAAGATGAAATCAAGACAGACTCTTGACAGACTGTGCTTGCTTGTACAGATGGCAGTAGAGCTATAGTGTGCGCTGTGGGAATGATTGTGGCACCTGGATAAAACTGCATTAAGCTAACTTTGTCATTTTAAAATACATACATGTGCACAAATTAAGGTTGCCAACCCTCCAGGAATTAAAGTCTCCAGGAATTAAAGATTAATTTTTAATTAAAAGGTTGTCACGTGATGAAACCTCCAGGAATACATCCAACCAAAATTGGCAGCCCTAGTGTATATAGGGAAAAAAGTGTATGCTCATTCTTCCTTTCTGACAGGCTAACTCAGCAGCTGAATACAGCAGCACTGACTGGCAGACTTTTCTGCTCTGTTTTTTTTCTCTAGTATAGAAATGGAAACCCGTAGAATGGGCTCTTTGGAAAGGGGGAACCTGGAAATTTTCATAGTATTGATGGCATATTTGGAAGATGTGAGGTTTTTTTCCCCATGATTTAACAAAGCTGTAGTAATTTTAATTTCAAATCTTAATCTAACCTGAATGTACTGGACATCTTTAAAAGAAACTAAACGAACACCAAAACATGTACCATATGCTATATTGCAAAAATACATCTATGGGCCACTAGGTGTCACAGTTATAGCTCACCATCCTATTTTAACGTGCTCTTGTGCTTTTTAGAAACGATCTGAAGAAAGAACCAAAGTTGTCCAAACTGTCCACATTCACCTAATAAAACCTGATAATAAATTAAGAAGTTACTTAGTAAACACTTATTCTTTTCTCTAAAACTCTCCACTAACGCAAAGTTGTAGTCCAGGTTTTTAATACACAGTCATCAAGAAATGTGAAGTTTTATGGTGCATAATTGTCAAATTAAGGTTGCTGTAGGAACCAGAAGATTGAATTTTCTGCATTTTAAAACCTCAGACATAATATCTGTTAACACAAATTTTGCCTTCAGTTTCCTTGGCTTGTTTAAAAGAGGGTGATAGCTGAGCAGACCTTCAGGTAAACACAGCTACTTTTATTTGAATAGGTGGAATTCCCAGTAAATTGTTACAAATGTAACAGAAAATAGGGCATATTTCACGGGTTCTCAATCTGCGTCACATCTGGATCAGCACATCTGAACAGAGAGAGTTCTAGCTTTTCTCTTCGTCCAGTGTAGTCATTGCTGTGATATGACCCCATCATGAATGAAAAGGACCTAGCTGATCTTTCTGCTCTTGAAATATTTTTAAATAAAAATATCCTTGATTCTTCTTTCATGAGCAGGGAGGAGACTGAAGGGGAATTAGGGAGATGAACGTTCTCCTTACTTAGGCTTTGTCTCCATTTACAGTGTGTGTTTTGTACATACACTGCACGCCCACCTAGCACAGGTATAAATAGCAGTGTAGATGGTGAGGCACTGCTTGGACAAGTAGAGTAAAGACACACTTGAACTTTAGGGTATGTACTCTATTCACTCTTGATATGAACGAGCAGTGCCTCTCACATATACACGGCTATTTTTAGCAGTGTAGTGTTCCACTGCCGGAGCCTTTCTCCAGTGCAAGGACAGGCTGTAGCAGTGGGGAGGCAGTGGAGAAAGACTCCAGCATCACCCCACTGCTGGAGCCTTTTCCTGCTGCAAGGAAAGGCTCTGGCATCGCTGTTGGAACCTTTTTCCATTGCTTCTCCCCTGCCAGAGCCTTTTGTTGCCGTGTGTCGCTAACCACCACAGTGTGAATGCAGCCTGTATTTCAGTGCAGCATGTAGATACATGTAACCTACATGCCCCTGACAGCGTAGACAAGGCCTAAAAGATATACAGTATTCTTTCTGCAAGTGATAGCCTTTCATAAGTACTGTACCATATTCTGTTGTTTCAAGAAATTCACTTTGCAATGCTACAGTGTGTTGGAGAGAGTGTGACTGAGGGTTTGACTATTCTGTTTGAAGGAAATAAAATCTTTGCCATAAAACAGGGAGAGTGACTACAGCTTTAATAAATTGGGGAAGCAGGTATTTTTTAGCCAGCAGGTAACGAATACATCTTGGTAACTGTATAGCTAGTGAGTAAGTATAGACTAATAACTGGGAGGAGACTGGCAACTCTGTTTTGCCAATTGTAAATGCTTTTGTTGCACATTACTTCTCTTCAGGGTTTTTAAACTGACTAGCAATGTGAGCGGGTAGAAGGTAGCCTATTCTGAATCATCTTTGAAAGCATTCAGAGCAGACAATTGAGCATTATCTATTTGTTTAAACAGAGGCTTTCATTCCAATTATTGCCAATAGAATGTTGGCTGTTAACTAGTTTGCAGTTGAAATTTGGAAACAAATTTAAAAATAAATATGTACTATTGGACCAGTACAAAAACATTCTTTTGCAGGCTAGTGGGCTGTCACTAATAACAATACAGGAAATCGTATTGTGGACTAGATAGTTTTTGTGGGCGTTCTCTCTCTTTCCCCCCAAATAGCCCTCATAGTCCCTGCAGGAGACACCAAAACTCCTGGCTCCCCAGGTGCTGAGGAAAGTTAACGAAATAGAAGTGTTGGGGCCATTTGGTGACAGTCTGTTACAGAGTCATCATTTCATGAAGCAGATTTCAGTGGTTTCCTAAAATTAGGCCAACTAAAGCACTTTTTAAGCTATCAGAATCCAGTAAAGCTAAAGAAGTCTGTCTTGCACAAGTAAATAGTGTCCAAGTTCCTAGTGCCAGTACACTTGCTCCTCCCCACAAGTTTCTTTGTGTAGCAGTATTGCCATTTTATAGAATTAATAATGTCCATTTATTCACAAGCTTTAGGTGCCTATTCTTCACTGCCTGTTGAAGTTCCCCAAAACCACAAACGCTTCATCTGTGACCTGACTCAAGCTGATCGTCTTGCAATCTATGATTATGTACTGGAAGAGACGAAGAAACAGAGGTCCAGATCCCAGGCCACTGAAAACGACAGTGATCTCTTTGTAGATTTGGCTGCTAAAGTCACCCAAGGTTTGAGAAACATTCAAATTCTTGAGTTTTACAACTTAAAATGGCAGTGTTTGTCATTTTCAAATGTTGTCACGTTTCTACAGTTAGAGGGATTTGGTTGAACATCTATTCAGGTTTGAATTAATAACATATAAACCAAATTGTGGATTCTAGGAAAAGGGCAAAAATTATGCAAACTAGCCCGGAAAAGAGCTGGCAAATACTCTTTTTGTATTATAGTTCTTTAAAAAAAAAAAAAAAAAGGTACAATTCAGGACACAGGTAAGATACCTTCAGATCCTGTAATGTGGTGGTCTTTGTGTAGTTGCCTATTATATCTTTCTCCTTTCCACCTTCAATTCTGCCAGCTTCCTGTCCAAACAGCTCTTCTGCACTTCTCTCATTGTATCTGTTGCCTGCATCTCAGCAGGAGGAGGGATCCTTCATTTTTTCTGCAACAGGCCTGCACTTCTTTGGCTCACAACTGAATGTGAAATTTTGCAAGATTTCTGCTGTGAAAGCTGATAAGAGATAAAAGCAGCATGGAACAGTAACAATAGAAATGTGATAAGAGACACACGATAGTCTTTTGGCACAAAGAAAATTCTGGAGAAATATATAAACTAGTGAGACAGATCAGGACTCCTCCAATTACTATATTCTGTAAAACATAAAATAAACATGCAGGGAAAAAATGCCTTATTTCTGGAGCCCGATCCTGCAAAAGGATCTGCATGGCCATAGACATTTACATTTGCTGGATCGATCCCTCTGTTTGCCAGACTTCCGCAGTTCAATAATATGGGTTTTGAAAATGTGACTTGTAAATTAGTATTTAGGACAGTTGTTGTTAAATAACTTATTTCAAGTCACTACATTGGTCTTATTGCAGTGTCTCAGAGTTCATGTAATAATCTTGTATGGTGGCTTGAATGCCTTTTATTTTGGTTGTTGATTTTGGTCTTTACTGTGTAAGCAGATCTCTTCCAGCTTTCTCTCCAACTTCCCTAGACACTGTTTGATGCTGTAAATAAATACCAGAGAAACATCTGTTAAAAGAACTTGACACAAACTTACCTTTAGTCCTGTAAACAGCACCATTCTAAGACAGCCCTATTATGTATTCTCAAGTGCCGATGTATTGCCTCTGAAATTTTTTTTTTAGTTTGTTTAACCACTTGTTTCACATTCAATTTTTTATTAGATGATGGTCAAAAAGGTCCAAAGTCTCATCTTGAAATCCTGGCAGAAATGCGGGACTATAAAAGACGGCGGCAGTCGTACAGAGCTAAGAATGTTCATATAACAAAGAAATCTTACACTGAGGTGAGCATCAAATGTTTTTGTAGAGAATGCAAGACCTTGCAGGTATTAGAATGCTTAATCTTTTCACAGCATACACTCTCTAATGTGCTCTATTAAGATTAGTAAAAACAGTTTTAACTATGATGCCTAGGCAAAAAAATCTTAAAGAAACTTTTTGACCAAGTCTGAAGATGTGGGTTAGTAAATGTGTTAGCAATTTTATAAATCTCAAAAAGAAATGTTAATGGTTTAAAGTATTTTTCTCCTCTGGTTGGTTGTCGATGTTTCCTGGTATCACTTTGTGGCTATCCTGTAGTTTGAGCTATGTCAATCTGAAAGTTGCATAAACTACTTAGAATGGCACTGCAGGGTTAAAAACCATATGTATTTAAAATGCATTTTTTCTTACTCCTATTACGATACCGACAGCTGAGACTGTTAAAAATGAAAGAACTTTAAAAATCTTGTGCCCATCATGTTGTTTATTCTTTTTTCTTCATTCCTGAACAGTGAGGCTAAACTAGTCAATTTCAGTATCAGTTTCTTGTGCCTTAGCTATTTGGGGGTTGCAAAGACTTCAGAGAAATGTTTTCAGATGCAAACAGAAAACTTTTTTCACTGCAAGTTACTGAATATATTTATCACAGCTACTTTTAATACTGAGTTTTGTACGTGCAAATTCCAGCCACCTACATGTTGATAGTGTCCCTTTAAGGTGCATTTTAGTAAAGTTACTTTGGAGTTTTTATTTCAGCAAACATTTTTCCGTACAAATATCTAGTGCCTTTAAAAACAACACCTCAGACCTCATCTTTTGCCTGGTGTTTTCTAGTCTATTTTAGCTTCAAGTTTTCTTTTACTAATCTCTTCCCAGGTAATCAGAGATGTGATTGGTGTGCACATGGAAGAACTCAGCAGCCACTGGCAGGAGGAAGGTAAACCAGACAATGCAGAGACGTGTGAAGGAGGAAAATCTTCCATTTCAGCAAAATCTTCAGGAAGGTATTAACAAGAACCTCACAGCACTCACCAACATGCTTTGTTTGTGCAGGGACGCTGGCAACCGTCAATCCATAGCGACCTATTACAGTATTCTAGTAGCACATAGAAGGCCCAGTTGAGAAAGAGACCCATTGTACTCCACAGTACAAATCCATACTAAGATAATCCTTGCCCTGAGGAGCGTATGGCTTACGTAGACAAGACAAAGGACGGAAGAAAACAAGTGTTATTCCCATTTTGCAGATGGGGAAAATGAAGTGACTTTTTCCTAAGGCCACACAAGCAGTTTATGGCAGAGCCAGGACATGAACATAAACTCTCCTGAGTCCTAGTACAGCGCTGTAATCACAGGTCTCAGACTGTCACAGAGCAGCTAGGGAGAGAAGAACCTGTGAAAATGTGACTTTTAAAACACAAGAATTGGCGGGGAGATGCAGGACTGGAATAGTACCTTAAAAAAGGAGTTTAAAATAGTTTAAAAAACTGATTAGATGTCAAGTTGACAATGTCCCTTTAAGGTTCTCATAGTTACACTAGCAGTGCAACACAGCTATGTTCATGTATCTTATGTATACTTAACATCAACAGTAATCCTTCACTTGGGTATTGAAAAAGAAAACAGGATAGACTTTATTACCTGTGTAACATGGAAGTGTGTCCTTGTCACTGTGTAATGCTTCCCATTTTTATTTCCTGACTTGGGTGGTTGAAATAGTAAACAAATAGGATCTATTTCAGCCTTTGCACCTAAAGAACTGGGGGAAGAAATTGCAGCCTGTCAAACGAGAGAAGCCAAAATCAGTGTCTTGTTTCCAAGCGTTTATTATCACAAACAAGAGAAGAAAAAGAAAATGATCCTACCAAATGGAATACAGTTCCTTTTCGTTGCCTACCAGAGGCAGACCGATGGAGATTAAAAGTATTCGAATAACTACAGTGTTTATGAAACTATTTATTAAACAAAACCAATAACTTTTTTTCTTCAGAAACGAAGAGAGACGGTCAGCATCAGTGGACTCTCGACAGTCTTGTGGAAGCTCTAAGGATGTCGATCGATCTAGACACAGGAGAGATCCCAGCAGAAGTCCAGACAAACAAAAAAGAAGTAGAGAAAGAGGCAAAGACAGGGATTCCAGGAGAAAAAGAGAGAGGCAAGTGTTACTCTAAGCAATTTGTTTGCCTGTACCAGTCAGTGATGATAGTCACCAGTGAAATGTAACGGTGCATCCGAGTTTAGTGCAGGAACGTAATACTCAATCCAAGTGGAAATGCAGGAGAATTCAGAGAGGCAGAATGTAATAACCCAGATCAGCCAAGCAAAACCCCTGTCCAAGCAGAATTTGCTGTGGGATCTTTAAAAAACTACAAGTGATCCAGATTTCAGGGTTTAATCCAGGATCCAAAAAATGGCTCCTCCAGCAGTGACGTGCCCCTAACAGTGCAGGAGCATTGGCTCAGATTTGACTCAAAGGGTCACCTAGTGCTCTCTGCTTGTGTTATATGGGCTGTATATTATGAATTAACTACACCTTGTATTACTGAGAGTTACTTAGTTGGTGTACATGAAGTGAATTTTAATACATACATCTGAGGAGTTTGCATGGGGATCTACCAGTTAGATTGGTTGCCAGCTCTACCATTTGCTTCACTTACAGGTGTCTGATCTTTTTTTTTCTAAACGGAAAGCTTTCCTAAGCTTCAGAACAAAACTGCCCATAATGAATGACACCAACACCACTGAAGTAGAGAACTAAAAGTTTTTAGTACTAAAAGCAAAGAGATGATGATCCTGCAATGGGATCTACAAGTGCAGAGTCTCATGCCCATAGTGCAGAGTTGATGGAGTTCCATAGAATCCCTTGGAGTCCCTTGGATCTGGCACTGGTGCAAGTCCTTGAGCCAGCAGATCCCAGCTGAGGATCTGGTTCCAACTGTGATTTTAGGAGCTTATTCAAAACACTTTCCTGTCAGGCTCCTGGGCTCTCTTTGTGACCCTATATTGCTTTATAACAGAAATGGGAGAAATTGTATAGCACAATTCCTAGCAAGTGTGTATGAGCTCACAAAAACACACATGCTTTGACCATATACTTTGGTGCATAGGATGGAGTGGCTGCTTGTCTCATAAAATGGCTTTATGCAGTTGTTTTTACAAGATACATTGTGCTCTGTCAGAGTGCAGGGTTGTGCAATGAGACTTGAATAAAGCTCACTGGAAATGAACCCTCAAAGAGAAGACAGTGACAAGATTTTGAAGGAAGTGCTTAGATTTAAAGGATATTTTCAGTCTTGAAAGACTTCGGGCTTCTCTAATGTTCAGACTTTCATCAGTGAAAGTTCAGTCAGCCAAGCAGTTTTGGAGTAATCTGTTAAATGCTGAGATCCTAACAAGACATTGGCTATAATGGCTTGTTTCTATTTCAGGGCTGAAGACAAATATCACAACCACAAAAGAAGAAAATAGAAATGGGACTGTAAAGAAGATGTGTGTCAGCTGTTAGTTAAGGAAATAGACTTAAACTGGATCATTCAGAGCTGTGAATATCAGCAGCATGCTGATGGCGATAGCATTGTGAATTGAACATTGTACCCACAGCTGGGAGGCTGCCAATGACATCCTTCCCTCATCTTGACAACCTTACCATGGTCTCGTGTCTCAGATGGTTTTTATCTCTGCATTAGAAGGTGACGTATAGTTTGTTGTATTGCCTTTGACTGATTGATAAATATAATTTATTACACTGTCATTTTAAAATTCAGCCCAACTTGGTCTGGTGATTGAAGCAAAAGAGGAAGGGACGAGGATTCAAATTTGTGCAGGTTTGCAGTGACTTTGGGAGGATACACTCTAGTCTTATGCATCAGTCACCCCACTGGAAACCTGGATAAAGTGCAGTGTGAAGGTGAGCCTGTAACAGGATGGTTAGTGCACTAGCCTCTGAAGACTTGGGTCCTAGGCTAAGTCACAAGAGAGTGTATTGACTGCTCTCATCCTAGTCTCCATTCTTGCATACTGCAAAGCTGTCGTGTTCAGCGGGGTG